AATACAACAGAGCTTTGGTGATACAATGCCCATCTCAGCAATGGCTTTTTGGATCCAACCGTGCAACTATATAGATAATATTCAAATATGATACAGAAGTAGCTTCAGCTGGGGGGAGAAAAAAAATACCTTTTTTAGTGGCGCCACTAAACCTGAAGAGAAAATCAGAAAGGAAGACAATATGCTGCGAAGGAACTGACGATGACGATTGGGAGCGATTAGGGTTTATTTGGGATCGAAAGAGAAAGATGAAGCCGATTGGGAAGGAAGGAAGGAATAAATTGATTTCGAGTCGGTCTTTGGTCCTATAAATTTAACATTTCGGGTTTCGGTCTGGTCAGGTCTAAATCCGATACACAATCGGTCTGGACCGAAAAGACCATTTAATTTTCAATCGGTCTAACTTTCCAAGAGTGAAGTCCGGCCCACTCTACAAATCCCAATTCCGAAATTCCCAAACACCAATCCTAGTTCAGCAAATTCCCAATCGTCACTGACCCTTCGTCCTTACACCTTCGTTTCCAACCACCAATGCTTCTCAAGTTCTTAGAAAGTCAGAATCACAGTCTGCCGATGATTCTCAGACGGGCGACGGGCGACGGACGGGCGACTATATAGATAATATTCAAATATGATACAGAAGTAGCTTCAGCTGGGGGGAGAAAAAAAATACCTTTTTTAGTGGCGCCACTAAACCTGAAGAGAAAATCAGAAAGGAAGACAATATGCTGCGAAGGAACTGACGATGACGATTGGGAGCGATTAGGGTTTATTTGGGATCGAAAGAGAAAGATGAAGCCGATTGGGAAGGAAGGAAGAGAATTGATGGCGATTGGGAGCGAAGAAAAGCAACGAAGAAGAAAGAAGAAGAATGATGTGACGTGTTGGGAAGAATACTGGGCGAAGGAGGGCGAAAAAAAAGACCAGTGAAGAGAGCGTGTCATCTGATGGGAACCGTCATCTTACTGAAACTCATCATCTGACCAGAGTCAATCCCTACACACACACACACACATATGTATATCTATATATACATATATGTATATATACATATAAATATATGTATATATATATACATATATACATATATGTATACATATATGTATATATATACATATTATATATATATATATATCTATATACATATATGTGTGTGTGTGTCTATATATATATATATATATATATATATATATATATATATATATATATATATATATATAGTACAAAATTCTAGCAACACTTCCTCTACAATATGACATATCCAAACATATACACTAGTTCCAAGACATCTAAAATATGTATTATTCAAAGCAAATAAAAATCACCAAAATCAATCATAATCAAATACAAAGTACGAATATTCTTGAGTGTGAAGAATATGATAGGAAAAACTTCCTAATTTTTACAGACTTGTGTTTTCTAAGAAATTAGCAGAATAGCAGAGCTCTCACCACAAAATGTTTTCAAGCCTGCTCATTGATAACCTAGATCTCGAAGGGTATTCATCAAAGATGTTTTTAACGTATATGAGCATAATAATCTCTGGGATGAAAAAAACCTAGAATACACGCATAAAAATACCTAAGAGGTTAGACTTAAGAGCATCTCATCCACAGTTAAAGTTTAATTTCCAAGTAAGGCTTTAGTGAAGAATTAATCAAAACTAGAATTAAAGGTGATCATACCCAGATGCTCATATAGCCACTAATCCGTCGGTACCCTGCAACAATTGCTGCATCGCCATAATGAACACCTCCCCAATAGACTATGTGGAACCTATATGATCAGCTATTGTGGCCTTGGATGGACAATGCACCTAAAGGTCCTTTTTCTTTGTTTTAAAATCAGTCTGAAAACAAAACCAATATGAAGCAATATATTCATATATAACTGAAATGCGAAATTCAAAAACCAGACCCTAGCTTCTACAATTAGCAAACCAAAAAAAGTATTAACATATAAAACTTTAAAATAGAAAAATAAAGTACACGATAATTGTAGAGATTACTGACTAGAATATGTCATTGGTTATATCAACTTATCCAAGAGTCACCACATGTGACATCTGTACTGACCCAGCAAAATTGAGAAATCACCTTAGGAAAAGTAAAATATAGGGATCTATAAGATAAAATTATTGATAAAGGCATAAATACCTGGATTTGGAATAATAAAACGCTAGAGAAATTTGTCCTATTAATGATATAAACATCTAAAAAATATGATTAATATGAAAAAAGAATAAACGGAGCTTTAAGAAAGAGGAAGCAACGTGAGATTAAAGAGACGAAGAAACCATCCATAATTTGAAAATATTCTTTTTATATCAACCTTAACTCCCACTCATCATCAATCATCATTGCTCTAGTTCTCAAGATAGAATCAGCAGAGACATTTCTAATTATTGAACTAAGTAGATGAAGAAGTGTCGTCTATGAAAAAAATTCCATGTTGTGCTGAACTTCAACTAACTCAAATAGGAGTGGGCTTAACGTTGCTAGTGTATCATTAGCATTTCAAATCTCTTTTTCTAGCGAGCTAAGAAGATTGGCATTGTAGACTTTTGAGTCGCATAGTTAGAAATAGAAAATAACTTCACAATTAATGCTAAAACTCAAACTCGTCATCGCAGTGAAGTACATGTTACAGCCAAGTCCCTAAGTTGTGTATGTCTCCCGGCTAGTTCCTGGAAAGATAGTATGAAAACCAAGCTGAATTCCTAATTGCATCCATAGCTGATGCTGCAACTTTGTCATTCACATCAATGAAGCAAGCAATAAATGATATACACCATATATAGTGGAGAATAAGACATGTTGGATAATGCAAGGCTTCAAAGTGCTATTTGGAGTATTACGGCAGTAGCACCAACAAGACGTACACCAATAGTTTCCTCAGCATTATATCTAAAAGGCAAGATGCTATTTTACATGTTATATGTGTTATACAGAGTAGTACATAAGATTATAATGTACATGAGCCAAGACATTGTATGTTTTAATTCCACTCACATCTTGTGCTCATTTCTTAGCTTTTTGTTTTGCGCCTCGCTTTATTCATTTGGTTCTGTAGTACACTCCCAGGACCTTCAATGAAGATCTCTTATTCTATTATTTGTTCCTTTTTAGAACTTAAGTTTTAAAACAACCATAGCACACCCTCATTGTAATTTTCATCACTTTCCCCGAGTGCTCTTCCTCAATACCCAATTCAAATCTTAGATTGTGTCGATGCTTTTGCTTTGTTTCTAAAGACTATTTTGCAGTTCCATGGACTCCTTACTACACTTAGAGGAATCAATATTTTGTGGTACAATGGGAGAGGTTTTGAAGGCTACATCATCAAGATCAAAGAGTATAAAAATAGTGGCATCATTAAGATCAAATGGTATCACTAGGAGATTCATTGTCCTTTAAGGAATTGAGATCATGTAATAAGTTGTTTCTGTCTAATGCCTCAATAAGATCAACTTCTGCTTCTCTAGATGGTGCTCCCTTCTTCTCACTATAGGAAGTTCTTTGGCATTCTATTTTGCCCAGTGCTGTGATTTGACAACATAAAATCATGTAATTGAAAAGATACAAATGAAGAAAATATTAAATGAAAAAACTAACTATAAAAATCTGTTTTGCTACATAAAAAAGGCATATATTAAAAGCTAAACTAATTTTTTAAGAACTCAACAAAGCACATCCACATAGACATACCTTCTAATTCGATCTAGATTCTGATTCTTTGCTTTCTCTCGATTCGATCTATGGCTCAGTCTAGTGTTAAGTGCTGGAGGTCAACATTCTTCTTGTTTTGTACTTTAATGCTCGCTTCACAACACACACACACACACACTTCTAAAATTAAATCTGTGTATTGAACAAACAAACCCAATGTTTTTTAAAGAAAATGGACTTGCGTCAAGCAGTAGAAACCTTTGTATGTAGCTAACACAAAATGGAAGATCTTAACCTATATTAGCTTCTCCAATTTATCTACCACCAGAATCAAAAAGTAAAGATCCGTGGTAAATAATAGACAAACTAGAATTCTACTCCAAATATTATATAATATAATGAAATTTGAGCAAAATAAAATAAAATGGATACATATATGTGATGAATCTCAGCACCTGTATCTGAATCAGAAGAGCAACAATAGTGTCTTCGATCAGGGCGACCTTGAGTCCTTAACAGAAGCCCTAGTCAGAATTGCTCTATGAATACATCTAAACTCAAAATTGATTTAATCAATAAGAAAACTAAAATTCATAGAACACATTAAACATTGGTTAAGAAATCATAATGAAAAATTAAAAAAAATTCTTAAAATTGAAAGGGCGAGTGGAAACAAAGAAAATGGAGAAATTAAAAGGGTTTACGCACCATTGGAAGTTGCCGTTCGTCTATGTAGTGTGTGATGGTTTTGTCCACCAAAATCAATGGTCTAGGATAGCGCCATAGCAGTCAGGTGGTGCTGATGTGGCTGGTTGAGGGTTTGACAACAGCACAGCGAGGGCTGCTGAGACCTGGTTCTGGTGCCGCACTTATTTGTCCACATTTGACTTTTAGAACTGTTCATCTAAGCACTTTGACTCATCAAATTCTCTCAATGTGTAAGCTTAAATATAGTCATGTGTGATCTTGTTTGATTTGTCTTAACATATAGATTATTAATATATAATTTTTATAATTTTTAATATACAAATTAGAAGATAAAATGGATTAAAGAAGTGCATTGGATGGTGTATAAAAATGAAAGTGGACAAATACAGGGGGACGGAGGGAGTACCTCGTATTCAATCTGAAGACGCGAGTCTAATTTTACAGTTGTTTGGTGCAAGTGGCAATATATTAAGAACATTAATTTTTATGGGAAAGGTTCCCATGACATTGGGAACCAATGTCATGGGGTGACCCGGGGTAGGGGTGTTCATGTTTAGGTCCAGACCGAACCCGGACCGAATTGATTTCGAGTCGGTCTTTGGTCCTATAAATTTAACATTTCGGGTTTCGGTCTGGTCAGGTCTAAATCCGATACACAATCGGTCTGGACCGAAAAGACCATTTAATTTTCAATCGGTCTAACTTTCCAAGAGTGAAGTCCGGCCCACTCTACAAATCCCAATTCCGAAATTCCCAAACACCAATCCTAGTTCAGCAAATTCCCAATCGTCACTGACCCTTCGTCCTTACACCTTCGTTTCCAACCACCAATGCTTCTCAAGTTCTTAGAAAGTCAGAATCACAGTCTGCCGATGATTCTCAGACGGGCGACGGGCGACGGACGGGCGACTATATAGATAATATTCAAATATGATACAGAAGTAGCTTCAGCTGGGGGGAGAAAAAAAATACCTTTTTTAGTGGCGCCACTAAACCTGAAGAGAAAATCAGAAAGGAAGACAATATGCTGCGAAGGAACTGACGATGACGATTGGGAGCGATTAGGGTTTATTTGGGATCGAAAGAGAAAGATGAAGCCGATTGGGAAGGAAGGAAGAGAATTGATGGCGATTGGGAGCGAAGAAAAGCAACGAAGAAGAAAGAAGAAGAATGATGTGACGTGTTGGGAAGAATACTGGGCGAAGGAGGGCGAAAAAAAAGACCAGTGAAGAGAGCGTGTCATCTGATGGGAACCGTCATCTTACTGAAACTCATCATCTGACCAGAGTCAATCCCTACACACACACACACACNCCCTTCCACCCCCTCCAATTGCACCCCACAATTTAATTTTGACTTTGGAGTCAAAATTTGCTCCAAAGTCAAAATTAACTTGTGGGGTGCAATTGGAGGGGTTGGGGGGGCGTGTTTGGCTTGGGACGGGGTGGGGGCATGTTCGGGTCGAGACGGGGTGGTGGGGTTTACCGGGGGGAGATGGGGGTAAGAACCGTCAATTTTACGAACGGGGCACCGGAGCACTCCGGGTCATCCCATGACATTGGTTCCCAATGAACCAATGTCATGGGACCTTGGTGAATTTTTATATGAGTATATTTCTTTTGAGGGATATTACACGAGAATATTAATAATGAGAGTATGTAATTATTAAAAAGAAAAGAAAAACAAATAGTTTGTAAAAATATTTAACTATGGTATCTCCAGTCACAAAAAATATGCAAAGACATTTAATAAGTGTTATAAAATGAGAAAAACTACTCAGAGATTATGAGAAAAGATATAATATATTTATGATTTCTTTTCTCTATTAACTCTACACTCTTCTTCTTATTCTTAATGGTGATTACAATGCACAGATTAGGCCTCTATTTATAGTGGAGAGGCTTGGTATGAATACAAATACAAGTGGGAAGGACTGTACAAAATTAGTATTCATCAATTAGTGTCTTAATCTACTATTCTAGAGAGTAGGACTGATTAATTGAATAAATGAACAATCATTAATTTCATAACACTCCCCCTTGAATGTTCATTTTTCAATTAATGATGGGTACTTCGTCAAATGGGCATAGTTTAGTAACTCATTCTAATTTTATGTACTGCCTCTTTAAAAACCTTGTCAGGAAAAACCCAGTGGGATAAAAGCCTGATCAAGGGAAAAAGAGTACAGTTCATAAAATTTCCCCCTCATCTTAGCATAACTGACGGAGGTGACGCATGTCAATCTTGTGTATGAGTTCTTCAAATTTCTTCGGGGGCAACGCTTTTGTAAATATATCAGCAAGATTCTCACTCGACTTGATTTGCTTGATGTCAACCTTTCCATCTTTCGCGAGATCATGTGTTAAGAAGAACTTTGGTGATATATGCTTTAATTTGTTCGGTCTCCTTTGATGTAACCTCCTTTCACTTGAGCAATGCATGCAGTGTTATCTTCATATATAAGAGTCAGATAACTAGTGATTGTTTCTATACCGCACTCGCTTTGGATATGTTGGATCATTGATCGCAACCATACACATTCTCTACTTGTTTCGTAGAGGGCTATCAACTCCGCGTGATTTGATGATGTGGCAGTCAAAGTTTGTTTCATCGATCTCCATGATATTGCGGTATCTCCATAAGTAAACACATATCCTGTTTGTGATTTTACCTTTTGTGGATCAGACAAATATCCTGCATCAGCGTATCCAACGAGAGTGGCCTTAGCATCTTTGCGGTAGAATAAACCAAGGTCGATGGTACCATTGAGACATCGTAAAATGTGTTTAATGCCATTCCAATGCCTCCTAGTCGGGGTCGAGTTGTGTCTAGCTAACAAGTACACTGAGAATGCAATATCTGGTCGAGTGTAGTTTGCTAGATACATCAAAGCTCCAATAGCACTCAAGTATGGTATTTCTGGACCGAGTATTTCTTCATCCTCTTCACGAGGTCGAAACGGATCATCATGTACATTGAGAGAGCGGACAACCATCGGGGATGTGAGAGGATGTGCTTTATCCATATAAATCCGCTTCAGAACCTTTTTCGTGTAATTTCACTGGTGGATGAATATTCCGTCTTTCAAATGGTCAATTTGAAGACCAAGACAAAATTTTGTTCTCCCAAGATCTTTCATCTAAAATTCTTTCATGAGATATTTTGCAGTGTTTTCTATTTCATCGGAAGTTCCAATGATGTTTAAATCATCAACATATACTGCAATTATGGAAAAACCTGATTTAGATCTACGGATGAAAACACATGGACTAATTGGATTATTTTTGTATCCTTCTCTGAGCAGATACTCACTGAGACAATTATACCACATTCTGCCAGATTGTTTTAGTCCATATAGTGACTTTTCCAATTTTATGGAAAACATCTCTCGAGGTTTTGAACTATAAACCTCCGGTAATTTTAGCCCTCCAGGAACTTTCATATATATGTCAGTATCGAGAGATCCATATAAATATGCTGTCACTACATCCATTAAACGCATTTGAAGTTTTTCAAAAATAGACATGCCTATCAAAAATCTCAATGTAGTTGCATTAACTACTTGGGATTAAGTTTCTTCATAATCTATCCCCGGAATTTGAGAAAAACCTTGGGCAACGAGTTGGGCTTTATACCTCACAATTTCATTTTTTTCATTGCGCTTACGCACAAAAACCCATTTGAAACCAACTGGTTTCACGCCTTTTGGCGTAGGAACTATAGGTCCAAAAACACTTCGTTTTTCAAGTGATTTCAATTCTGCCTGAATTGCTTCGTTCCATTTTGGCCAATCATGTCTACGTTGACATTCATCAACTGAAGTTGACTCAATGTCATCATTTTCATCCATGATGTTTGTGGCAATGGGATATGCGAATATATCATCTACATGAACATCTTTTCTGTTCCAATGCAATCCCGTAGAAACGTAATTTATTGAGATCTCATAATTATCAACATTTCTATCTTCATCTGAATTATTCGCATCTTCACAGATTGTTAAATCCTCATTTGAAACAAATTGTTCGTTGATATTATTTTTTATATCAACATGCTCGGTTTGTTCATTATCTTTCTTTGAAGTATGAACATCTTTTGTTTCAAATATTGTCTCTTGCCTTTTAAGTTTTCTTGGTTTTACATCTTTTGAACCAAGTGGTCTGCCACGCATTTTGCGTATTGAAGATTCATTTGCAAGAGTTTTTTCATTTTTCTCTAAAGGAATTTCAATTCTGGCAGGAGCATTCATAGCTAGAATGTGTGACTTTGTCACTTTCTTTGAATCCGTGAATGCATCAGGTAATTGATTTGCAACATTTTGTAAATGAATTATCTTTTGCACTTCTTGTTCGCATGCATTTGTTCTTGAATCAAGAAAAGATAATCCGGTTGCATTCCATGTAATCTCTTTCGTACATGTGTCTTTTTTCTCATTCTCTCCCCCTAAGGCTGGGAATACTGTCTCATCAAATTGCCAATCAGGAAACCGAGCTGTAAATAAATCACCAGTCATGGGCTCAAGATATTTTAATTGAGGGAGAATCAAAGCCAACATAAATTCCAGCCTTCTTTGAGGACCCATTTTTGTACGATGTGGTGGAGCAATTGGTACATATACGGCACATCCAAATATTTTTATGTGAGCAATATTTGGTTCTTTTCCAGTTAACAATTGTAATGGGGAAAAAATATGATTTGTAGTAGGCCTTAGCCGAATTAAATTTGCAGCATGCAATACAGCATGTCCCCAAACAGATGCAGGTAAACTAGATTTCATCAATAATGGTCTAGCAATTAATTGTAATCGCTTTATTAATGACTCAGCAAGACCATTTTGACATGCAACTGGATGCTTCACATCAATCCCAATAGACATGCAATAGTCATTAAATGATTGGGATGTAAATTCTCCTGCATTATCAAGTCGGATTTTCATTATTGAATAATCCAGAAATTGAGCCCTCAAACGTATGATTTGAGCAAGGAGTTTTGC